CAAAATTTGCCTTCAAAGGTGCCGGTCGTAAGAGATTGGCCTGTGTCTAATGTGGATTCTGGTTGTGATAAGGCTTTTCAAAATTTACCCTCAAAGGTGCCGGTCGTGAGAGATTGGCCTGTGGGATTACAAGGATTGCAAGGAGGGCAATCAAATTTACGGACAGACAAGCAGACAATTGCAGTGAATGATAAACAGATTACATTCGCTGGTGCTGATGCAATGCCTTCCCAATCTGTAGAGCCTGAAGTTCATTTTTCTTCTGTAAAACCGGTCAAGAGAGATTTTCCTGTGGTTGCCCCAACTGTTCTGTCGACAAAATCAGCGATCCCAGAGCCTGAGTACATTTGGCAGTATGGTTTTCAATCCTTTTTATAAAATATCTCTTTTTCTGGGTTTATTGCTTGTAGATAATCCTTCTATTTCCTTTGACTAGAGGGGATATGGAGGTACAGAAAAGTGGAAATCTATCAGCAATGCATAGTGGAATCCAAGCATATCTGTCGATCTTAGCATCACCCAAGGTTGTTGAAGTGGTAAACCAATTCCCAGTAAAAGTCTTCTTGAATGAAGTACCCAGGCTAAGTACATGGCCTTCACAGTTTCAAGATGTAGGTGCTAAGGAAGAGCATGTGGCTCTTTTCTTCTTTGCCAAGGACGTTGAAAGGTAACTGGAAATAATTGTGTTTTATTTCACATAGTTATTCGTGTGTTGGTGGCTCCAATGTTGACGAAATATATTTATTGTTGCCTGTGAGACACAGTTATGAGAAAAATTATAAGCCACTGGTAGAGAACATGATCCAGAACGATTTAGCCCTAAAAGGAAACCTCGAGGGTGTTGAGCTTTTGATCTTTGCGTCCAACCAGCTTCCTCAGAACTGCCAGCGTAAGAATTTAACCATAACTCTTTCACATTGTGAACACACGTTTTGTTGCAAGATTTAATCTGTGTCGCATTTGCAGGCTGGAACATGTTATTTTTCCTTTGGGGTGTATTCCGAGGAAGAAGGAAGAATTGCTCTAATCCACCCAAGAACACACTTCTTCCAGCGTCTTGTGTGTTGCCAACTATGGGGAAAGCGTTTTCTACACGTGAGGGCTTTTGCCATGATAATCCAAGCAACAGAGAGTCTGTGAGTGATCGTGCATCGAGCAGAATGCAATTGAGCATGAAGGTGGGTTATTCTAGTACTTTTGTATTCTTCTTTAACACCTAGTA